GACCGGTGACAGAATCGATACGTTCCCTTTTTCCATTTATAACACCGAGAGCTAAAAAATGGCTGAACTAAGTAAATAATTATTTTAGTGTAGATTTTACAATATATCATAAATTATAGTTTTCAATCTTTTATTTAAGTAATGAGTTATTAAACTGCATTCAATGAATAATTTTTGCACTATTAAAAAGGCTTGTTTTATTTTGAATTGATTTTAAACGGCGCTTACTCTTAATAAAAGTTATAAAACACGTTCCATATAATCATATGAGCTTAGGTGAATGTAGAGAGAGTAGGTTAGAACATATTTCTACTTCTATAAATAAATTTGAAAACAAATACAATTATAAAAAGAGCCTGTTTAACATAAAAAAACTCAATTAAAACATTAAGAAAATCAAATATAAAAATATAAAAGAGTATCTTAAAAAGAGAATACACTTTTGGAAACCAACATAATATTTTTATGGTACATTTTATAAACTTCATTATTCAAAAAAAGATAATTTTTTTACGATAAAACATTTTTAATAACATTTTAAAAATAATGTCAAAAAAACATTTTTTTTCGTTACGTTTTATCATTTTTTTTGCAAAGAAAAATAATTTTTCATTTTCTAAAGTGATAACTAAAAATGCTAAATTATGAAATACAAAAACGATTTTTATGATCAAAACATGTCAAAAAAAATAAATTAATAAAAACCGGCGAAATAGTTTGACATTCTGCAAATTAATAACTTTTACATAAAAAAAACAATAACATTAACCTGCTTGTAACTGTTTGAAACTAAGTACAAATTCAAATACAAAAAAATTCTTCAAGTATTTCAAAAACATATTTTTAAGTCGATTAAATGAAACTTTATACCAGTTTTTGAACGTAATTTATTAAAATATATTAAAGCAATTTATTTTAAATTCATTCTTTCAATTAGTGATGTAAGTGCAATTCACCAATAATCAAATTATTTTCACTATGTATTCGTAAATTACATTTAATACAATTTTTAATCAAAAATTTAATTTTTGCAAAATTATATATTTGAATTTTTAAATTTTTTAAAATACAAATTTAGATATTAAAATTATTCGTTTGATTTTTTTAAAATATATTTAAAACCAAAATTTTAATAATACAAATTTACATAAAAGATATTTTTTTGATTTTTTTAAATTTAATTTTGTTTTAATCAGTAATTTTTTATTTTTTTAAAACTACAAATTTATTTAAAAAAATAGTTTTTTTGATTTTTTTAAAAATTCCTATAAATTAAAATAAATAATAAAAATTCTTTACAAATGACTAAAATCCATCTCAAAAAAATTCTTATGATCGTTCTTCGTACAATTTCTAGTTGAAAGGAAAATAATTTTAACAAAGAAAATGCTTTAATTAGAAAAAAAAATAATTAAAAAAAAGTCCGATAAAAAAAATGACATTCTATTTTTTAAATTAAATTGAAAATAATTTAACGAACATTTTATTGGTTTTTAAATTAAAAATAAAGCGAAAAATCTTTAAAATCCCTAATTTTTGTAATAATTTTTGTTAAAAAATATTTTTGTAAAATCCAATTTATTGTATATGTCTTAAAAAGGAAAAATATTTTTTTCTTATAAAACCATTTAAATTTAAATAATAAATCGTTATATCCGTTAGTATTTACACCCCAATGCAAGATAATAGTTTTGATTGTACATTTAGTCAAGGTAAATCAAGAATGAGAATTTTAATGAATATGTTGAGAAGTAAGACCGGTCTTTTATTTGAAATAATATTAACGAGATTACGGATTTTTAAATCGGATGAATATATAAGAAAATGCAATACTAAGTTCAAAGGAACGTACGAGCTTTGTTCTGAGGACGAGAATTCTAGTGATTATTCTTTGTCTACACAGTTTTGTAAATTCCCAGAAAAACGACCAGAGAGTCCTGATCCTATTTATAAATCAGATTTAAAACTTCAAAAAATCAGAAGAATAGAATATTACGACAATATAAATGTTGATAATTCAAATTGTAACACAAATAATATCAACAAATTTTCATCTGCTGATGTATTGTACAATTCAAAATCTTTAGTAAAATTTGATGTCGAAAAACTGGAGTGGTTGCGATCCTTTTTTATTGATAATATTGTAATTGTAATTACTGATATTGTAAATAGCACAAGTCAATGGAATTTATATTCAGAAGATATGCACAAATCTATAAAACTTCATAATGAATTATCTAGGAAATTGATACGCACATTTGGCGGTTACGAATCGAGAAATGACGGCGATTCATTTTTTGCCGTTTTCAAAGATTCAGAAAGCGCTATAAAATACGCTTTAAATTTTCAAAATGGACTTTTATATCAAAATTGGCCAGATACAATTGTAAACCACAATAAAGAACTCTATAATGATTCAAACACCCCTATTTATAGAGGAATCAGTATAAGAATCGGAATACATACTGGTAAATGTACAGTGTGTTGTTTTGATAGAAAACTTAAATATTTTGGTAAAACTGTTGATGAAGCATACGCTCTATCAGAAATGGCAAAAGGTGGCGAAACATTTATTTCTAATCAGGTTTTTAAAGGAATAAAATCAAAGGAATTCATTTCAACTTTTAATGTCATACAGAAAAGAGCTTATCAAGAAAAAGGATTCTATATTTATCATCCACATCACATTTCCAGGTTCCTAGAATGTATTTAATATTTTATTCATTAAAGCTGTACATAAAAATTTTCTTATCTATTGTCTTTAATGTATATTAAGCCACTTGTATTGTTTTCCTTTTTAATTTTATTTATTTAATATGTAGGATTTTTGTTTTATTTGATATTTTTTCGTTTTTTTAACGATCAATTTTCTATTTTTTAATTAATTTATTACAAATATTTACCCACAAATTATTAAATTACCTTAAAACTTATTTTGGTAGTAAAATAGAAAAAACTGATGTAAATTTTATTTAGAATCTTCTTAAATACGTTTAAATTACTAATCTTAAATATTTTTTCAAGCAAATTAAATTTTTTAATTTCCCAATAAAATTTTTAATTTAATTAATATAAACGAACTTTTTTTATAATCGTAGTTTTAAAATTATCTATTGAAATTGAAAAACTTTAGAAAAAATCAAATTAATACAGAATTCGTGAATTTCTCGTTAAAATATATAAAAAAAATATTTCATATTAGTTTTTTATAGATAATTATATTAAAAATAGATTTTTGTTTCATTTTTAAATTCAAAAATAGTGAATTACTTGATTTATCGAATATAACATAGGAACTGAGTAGGAATAGATTCTTTAATATAAATCAATTACCTTATATTTTAACCAGCTGATACTCCAAAAATACAAAAAAAAAACTAAAGTACTGGATATTGGTATATTGGTCTTGTATTATACAAACTTAGCTTTAAAAAGGAAGTAAAATAAATTAATAAATTATTAATTTAAGATTTTCTTAATTCTGTAAAACTATTGGTTGAATATTTTTAAAAAATAATTTATTTATTCAATTTAAATATTCATCTTATTTCTTTTATATTCTCACGATTAAAGATACAAAACTATTTCAAAGTCAAATTGCTTAATTCATTTTCTGGTCCTCCATAAAAACACAAATTGTCATTAAATGGGGAGAATTTAACAGAAAATACCATATCATCACTATTAACAGTTTGTACTTTATTGAGTGAACTTAAATTAAACTGTTTAATTTTCTTATCCAAACCACACGTGACAAGCATATCACTACGATTAATATCAAAACAAGACAAAGAATTTAAATGTAATCTTTTCTTAGATACTGGTTGGTCAATATATCTTAAATCATAAAAATAAAAATGTCCAATACTATCAGAAACATAAATAAAATTTTCTTTGATAATGAAATATTCTATTTCATTATGAAATTTGATAGAATCGATATTTTGAAAAGAATTGTTTATAGAAAGATGAAATTCTGTCGAATATAAAAGAATATCGTTTTCTAAAAACATTCTGGTTATATTTTTTTTACCTTCTATTTTTTCTTGTATTTCAAATTTAGATAAATCCCATTTTATTATTGTACCGCCTTCGTCTCCACTGTAAAGATTTTTTTTGTTCGATTTACACGACGTAATACTTGATTCGTGTCCTTTCAATAAAAATTGTGGAAATAACGGATTAAAAGTACAACAGTCGTATATTTCTAATTTGGTATCATAACTAGCAAGTACTATATAATGCTGGTCATTGATATTCATATACTCACTGTCTACAACAGTATTTAGAACAGATATGTCGTGGTGTAAAAAAACTTCTTTTTCACCTTCTTTTAATACATTAAATTGTATCCCACTTTGTTCTTCCGAATTTACTGTGCAATATATTAATTGATCCGTTTTTTCTATCGATTCTATTTCTGAAAGATCTATTTCAAAATTTTCTGTAGTTAAAGCATCTAAATCGGGTGTAAATGGCCCGTAGTCATATTCTTTGGCTATTTCTTTGTTAGGAACATATTTTTTTATATCAAATTCTATATTTTGATCTAAAAAACCGATATTATTTATCATTGGAGGGGAATTATAAAACTCGCTTTAAATATTTAAAAAACAAAAAATTGATTCTAAACACCGATAAATCAAAATCGAAGAGGAAAACACATTATTATAATTCTTTAGACATTAAATTATTTAAGGTTTTTCAAGACATTTTTTTTAAGAAAATTCTATCTTTTTTTATAATAGAAGAACAGGTTATAACAAGATAATGTTATAATTTTCTCGAATATGAGGTATCAATCTGTATTTAAGAAACAATTTGAAATTTTAATTAATTTAAAGCAATTTCAAAATAAAACAAAAGGGTCAATAATACAAAAAATAGATTGTATAAAAAATTGCAATAAAATTATAGTTTTTATGGTTAGATGAAACTATGAATAATATTTAAATTTATATCAAAAAAATAAATTTATACTGAAATTTTATTATCATTCAGCTCCCATAGCTCAGTTGGTTAGAGCGTGGTGCTTATAAGCTACTTTCATAACTAGCTTACCTATGATAGTACACGAAATGGCGAAGTTACGCTAAGGTCGTGGGTTCGACTCCCACTGGGAGCATTTTTGCAGAAAAATATTTTTTTTATTTATGATAATGGAATATCAATTTTAAATATTTGAGAATTCTATTGATGTAATAATAAGGAGTACAGTAATATTTTTTTACAAAAATATATGGACGAAACAAATATTCAGGATTTAAAGAATAATGTGTTTTTATTTTAAAAGCAAATATTTTTTACACATCCAATCAGATAGATTTCTTGAAATTTAAGTAGATTGAAATAATTTTCTTGATAATATATCTTCTATCATTTACTATAGAGAGATTCTTTTCCTCAATAATCATCTAATTATACTTATTTCATAAAAACTAATTATTAAATTTTAATTTTGACAAAAATATTTTAAACCCGAATTATGATAAAAAAGCAAACAATTTTTTTACACACAATGTATTTAAGTTAGTCATACATGAATGGGGCATATTATTAGGAATTAATGTTTATTTATAATTCAATTTCATTTTCTGAATGAGAATTCATATTTGTAGTTTAAATTTGTAAGTAGAAGACAAAGTAAAAAAGAGTGGAATTGCTTATTATAGAAATATTTTATAGTTTCGTCAAAAAATTACTTGTTTTTCCCAAAAAGTTAAAACAAAATCAGTTTCAATTAGACAAATGTCATAGCTTCCAATTTTTTCGGGAAGTCGATAAATCTACAAATTTATAGTATAACTATATGTAATGATTAAGATTTATTATTTATACTCAATTTATTTTGTATTACATTCTGTGTTTATGAAGGCTTTAAATCAATCCGAATTGTATTTGTCGAACTGATGAAAAAATACACATAATATGAATCTCAAATATACTTATATAAACTAACTCAAAATCTTTCTGGTATTTCTAAGAAAATCGTGCCAAAACATAAGGAAATGGAATTTATAATTTAATCATACGAATACTAATGATGACGTAGTAATTATTGAAGTAACCAAACTTGAAATAACAAATTATTTTAAATGAAATAATTACAGAAACGGTCGCTACATATTGTATGGTATAAATAGATTTGAATTTTTATATTTGGCGGTAAAATTAAATACTGTTTAACATTTCATATTTAAAATTCGTTAAATTGAATTGTAAAGATTCAAAAATTTTAACGATTCAATAAGTAGAATTAATTACCTTTATTTTGTTTCTGATACTTCCATATCTTATTTCATGCTCTTAGTGATATTAAAATTTATAATCGCATCACAATTAAAGACCTGTAAATCAACATTTGCGTAATTTTATTGCATTACATTATTTTTCCAATCGAACCAAATCTTATTTATGTAGATACTAAGAATGTATACATTAAATATGTTTTGCATATTCAAATCATTTCATCTTCTATATGTTGATGTGGAAAATATGTGTAATAGTAATATATTAATTTTACACATATAGATTTAAGAATATTGAGATCAAATATACTGACAAGTTTTTTTTTATAACAAAGACATAGATTTAATTGAAACTTTGTAAAAAAAATAATAGTATAAAAAACCCGCAACATTTTTAGCATTTTGTATAATTAATACAGAATTAAATGAAAAAATTTGTTCAACGGGTTTTTAATAATTAGTTCGTTGGTTATGGAACATTGATTTACTTTATGGGAATCAAAGAATGTTTTAAAAAGATTTCATTTTTGGTAATTTATCTATATCAATACATAAATGATTTGAAGTAAAGATTTCATTTATAACGCAAGAAAAAAATATTGAGGTATACTTGTAATATAAATATTGCTCTCAATGTTATATATGTAAAGCTATATAACGGTTTTAAAGCTGATATCGAAGGAAAATGCAAATTTAATTTTGTGGAATTTGAAGTTTAATTATGGAACTATGGGAATATGGTTTTTCAAATTTATAGATTGGTTGTTTATATGTGATCAAATAATTCCACCTTCAAAAATAGATTAACTATTTTTTAGCGGCTATGTTCAAAAATGCAAAGGAAAATACTAAAATTTTTCAAAAACAGTTATTAAAAATTTTTGGTAATAATATTTATTGCAAATCGAGAAACTGTGTTTTATAATATGATATGTAAATGAAGAATTCAACCCAAAGCAATTTAATTTTATTTTGGTTAGAAATAGTATATGATAAACGCGATCAAAAGGACGAACTATTTAATATACACATAGAAATAGTGAAACTAGCAACAATATATTTCTTAAAAAGGATCTTGATAAGAAGATAACTCATCTTTTCAGATTTATGAATTTAAAGTAATATTTAGAAATTACTGAAGAAGTAAAAAAACACATTGGCTTTTGGTGTGGAAAAAATGTACGCCTAAGAAATAGAAACGCTTTCAAGCATTTTAAACATCTAAAAAACGTTGCATCATGCCCATAAAATCCTGTTATTTTTAATAATTATTATTTAATGTTTCTCTGTGTTTTTACTATTTATCTATTTTAGATAATATTTTCGGGTTTATTGGTAGTATAACTAAAAGAGCAATATGTTATATACAACTTTATGTAAAAGTATCACATCTTTTTAAAACAGTGGCAAGTGTTATATTTGTTTTCATGACTGTAACGCAGTTCTAGGTTTAACATAAATAACTGCTACCCCACCACTCCATCGGTAACCCCTGCGATGCCTATGTTTCAAAGCTTTTCATCTACTAAGTGCGTAGAACCTAATTACTAGGCGAGGCAGTTGCCCGGAGTTCATTAATGTTCGTTGCATGAAGTGTGATCGAAGGCCGAAGCCCCCCCTGGGCACCCCCAAGACTATGCAGCATTCCCACTTAATTTTCACTTTCTGAACCCAATAAACTTTTAGCTAAGATATATTTCAGAGACTTACATGGGGTCCACCTAGACAGTGCAATTTCAGACCAACAGGTATAATCTGCTACTTAGCTTTCCTGGATTTAAATGGTTTTTTGTTTTGTATCTCCCAGGCGCTAAGTCTTCTAATCCGAGTGAGCAAGGCTAGGTTTCCATACTTTTACATGGCAATTACCTACATGTTCAGCTGCAGTCTGTATAATCTGGTTGCATAAAAAACTATAAATAAATTTGTAGAAAAAGTTTCTCCTTTTATTAGACCTCTCCTCCTCATACAAACTCCCATGGAACAACCAAAGATGTAGTGTGGTTTTATTCCCACTAAAAATCCGAACAATGATTTCATACCGGTCTCACACACTCATTGCCAAGCAGAAAGTTTTTTATGTGGCTATCCTCCCTCCACTATGTTATATACAATACATATATATATTATTAATCATAAAATAACAAATATTAACCAAGAAACTCTAGGATATGGTGTGAAAATAAAAAAAGGGTAAACATCACAAGCTTAATGATGTAATATATTGATATATCTTGGAAAGGCATACTTTTCCTATGAGTTTAAAAAAATGTTTGAACTTTAAAACTATTTTAATTCAGTATATAACGTATCGTCAAATATTAAACTAGTTCGATTATATAAAGCAGAAATATAGTGCAATTATTTATAAAGAATTTTTCCATTATTTCAGAAGAAACATACAGTTATCAAAAAAAATCCGAATATCTATGTTTTAATGAAATTATTCCTATGTAAAACTGCGTGATATAAGTGTTTAAATTGTTTCATAAGAGTATATTTTAAACATATATCTAGGGTTACTTTTATAATATTGTCTATATAAAATAAAACGATTAAATTTACAAAATTTTAGTCAAAAAAACTTAGGGTACTTTTTAAGATTTAGTATGCCTCTTTGGGCATATGTGACACTCAAAACTCGCGATTTTCATAGAAATAACACGTTTTTGCACAAAATCAATATGAATTTCATTCCGAATTTTGAGTTTTTTTTGCTTTACTCCATTCAGATTTTAAAAAGTATTTTACACAATTATTCTTTCATTTAAGCCCATAGATGTTCCATTTGATTTAAATCAGCTAATCGGGATAACCAAGGAAGAACTTCAAAGTCTTATTCTTTTAAAAATTCCACAGTAACCTTTGATGTATATTTAGAATCAATATCTTGCTGAAAAATATACTCCTCTAAACTGAAATTTCTAACAGATGATTCTAAATTATTTGTAAGAATACTAACAAATTGAAATCGGGCTATAGTAGTATCAATGGATGCTAACCTTCCAAGATTTGATATGACATACATCCTAAAACATATTATTCGTCTTTTATGCTTAACTCTTTTGGTCATATATTTAGGTGTTCATCGTGCCTCTGTAATTGTTAACTCCTACCTGCTCAATTAAACAAGTTGAACTTCTATTCACAACCAAACATTGTAATTTTGTAATCGTCATCGGAAATCAATAAAAATAATTTTGAAATTTTTAAATTGGTAATCATATTTTTTTGGGACAAAAATGGTTTCTGAGCACAGAAAAACGTATAATTACCGACTTTTTCGATAGATTTCTTATAGTTTTGATATTAACGTTATAATTACATAACACATACAATTTTTTAGTGATTTCTGTTGGACCAATTTTAAGATTTTCTTCCTCTAGAATCAGAAATTCTATTGGTTATGGCGATATCTATAAAGACAGGTCGTCCAGATCTATCTTTAAGATTCGTCCCTTTTATATTTATATACTTATGTAAAGTATCATGGACTGTAGACCTAGCGATGTAAATAAATTTAGAAAATTCCATCTGAATAACATTTAAGCTTAACTCCACCATAGCATCTTATTTCCCGGCTGATTAAATATAATCCTTTGGTGGGTGATTTAAATTTCAAAAGAAATAATTAACTGATCTATGAAACAAAATACATAATAAATTTTAGGTGCCTAATTTTTTTTGACATTTTGAAAAGATATATCTGCAAATCTATAACTAGAGATTATAAACAAATCCACCAAAGAACAATGTATAGATAAAATATTATAACTTATTACTATTGCAAAAAAATTAAAATTCCTATTAAAAATATATGAAAATTTGGAATTTTTAAATGCTGGGGTTTTTTTGACATATGTATATTCAAAGAACA